CGGGGGGTCGGGAGGCGGCGGGTGCCTGCGGTAACAGCACCTGGGGGAAGCGGCCGAGGCGAGGGTGGGCGATGCAGGACGTAGCCAGCCCTTGGAGTCAGCTCCTCAAGGACATCCCCGTTGCTTCCGAGATGGCAGTTTTGGGGAGCGCTGCCGGTCAGGGGAGGCTCCCTGCTTGTCTGTCTCCAGCGGCGCGGCTCCCCATTTGGGGGGCTTCACGCTTTTCAGAAGAAAAAGCTGGGGACGTCTCCAGGTACTCTCATAAACGAACCGCAGTTCTTAATTACCGTGCTCGGGAAGGGGTGCTGCCGGTGTGTAGTAGAGAAAATGAGGTTGTGACCACCCCGTGTCTTAGTGGAGCAGAAGGGCTAAAAGTAGTGGGGTGCTGTGAGACCCCTGGGGAAGGCCGTGAGTCGTCACCTCACGCCGCACTTAATTGTACTGAGCTCACTTAATTGCCACTCCGTGAGTAGCTCAGCCGGTCTGGTGAGCTGGAATGGGAATGTCCCTGTCTGTTTTCCATCTCTGCTCCAGCTTGCTTGCAGGTGTTCCCAGAAAAGAACCGAAAACAGAGAGGAGGAAGGCATGCTGTTTCTGTGGCGCTCCATCTGCACCTGTGACATCTATACTCCGCTCCCATGAGCCAGACTGCTGTTTAAAACCCGACCTTTAGAAATCTGTACTTCTGCTGCTCCGCTTGCCCTGTCTTGCTCTGCTGTGGCATTTGTGCCTTTGGCTGTAAAGCAGTTGATTTGTCCTGAGGTCTGTAGACGACTTGGGCCTTAAAAGGAGAGAACCTCGTCACAGCACTGGTGTGTCATCCGGGCACATAGGGGCTTCTGAAAATGGCATTGCCGCCGTGGACAGGGCCACCGGGAAGGAAGACTAGTGTGATGGTGAAGCAGTGTGGATTTTAAGGCATTTCTATTGCAAACTTAGTGAAAAAGAAGTATTCTGAAAGGAATACTTTCCTAGGTAACCAGTTACTCTGGTCTTTCCAAGACCACAACAACAGTGAAAACTGATGAACTGAGTTTTCAACGTTGTGTGGCACTTTGTTCATTGATAACTCAAGGCCATAAACCACTGCTTTCCTGTTTTATCTAAAGGCTGTTTTGTCTGCAAATGTCAGTGGTGCTGGTGCCTCATGTAGCAGCTTGTTGTCAGTGTGTGTTAGCTCTGTCCTGTGAATAGGCAGGGAAGTTGTACCTGTGTTGCGTGTACAGAGTGTTGTAACTGTGCTTTGGTGTAGTGTTATTTAAAGTAACAATAAAAAAAAAAAAACCCTCAGACACACACACACACAAACACTAACAAAAAACCAAAACCACCACAACCAGCTGACCAACGAAGATACAACACAAAAACAAACAAACCTAAAACTTCTTTCAATTGAGCTCTGGTGTAGTGTTATTTAAAGTAACAATAAAAAAAAACCCCTCAGACACACACACACACACACAAAAACACTAACAAAAAACCAAAACCACCACAACCAGCTGACCAACGAAGATACAAAACAAAAACAAACCAACCTAAAACTTCTTTCCATTGCAGTAGACAGAAAAGGGCTGTCAGTTTTAGGCAGTCTAAGCAGAAGCGTGTGAAAAGGGTACTTCACCCTGTTTGTTGACGGTTAAGTTCACAGTTAGAGGGGAAGCTGCGTGTATTTAGGAGGCTGTAGTTCCTGTGGATGAAATGATGAAATTAACTGTGTACTGCATTTCTCTGTGTGTATCTGTAAATAAGGTTATTTCCACCCGGAATGCTGTCTTTAATTTTGTTTTTTTGACATGTATAAGATTCTAGCCTAGCCACAGATATCTATATTAACTTTAAATGTTTCACCTTTTCTGCAACTTTATTTTCCAGAGCTTTTACAGCAAAAGCTGGTTTAGTCTTCGGAAGTGTGTTATAAATGGGTCATTAACTTTGCCAAGGCGTGGTTTGCTTTTTTGATTTGTTTTGTGTGGGGTTGGTTGTTTTGTTTTTCTCCCCACACAAGGATTTAGCAGTCTGCTGTTCCATCATGGTTGTGTATAGTTCTTATCTGGATCAGGAAGTAAAAGTAGAAGAAAAAAATGACTTAAACTAATTGAATGTATTTAGAGAAGACAAAATTAGAGAAGGTAGTGGGAGTCATGGTTGGTATGAAACCTATGAGAAGAAAAGATTAGACTAAACCAGAGCATTGTTCACATCTGGGTTTATGATTGGGTTTTGTGTGTTGGGAATGCTTATGGGAGACGGATGGTTTTTGAGAGCCTGTAAACCTGTAGGGCAGTTATTTGGGTAAAGCAGCTGCAGATTAAGGACAAAACAAATAGCTGGAATGTACCAGGGGCAAGTACACTGTATCTGGTACACTGATAGCTTGGAATAAAATTTCTTTTCATGATGGGAGAAAGCTGACCTCTATTTTTAATTACAGAAATTTAAGTTCAAGACACTACTGGATTATGCGTTTGTATGTTCTGGTTCATTTTATAGGCAAGCAAGGTAAAGCATTTTAGAAAAAATACACTGGAGACTTTGGACAAGGCTTTTAGATGCTCAGTTTATTAAAAAGAACTCCGTGTAATGCTAAAGACTAATTCCTCAGTAAGAGTGTTCTCAGAAAACATGAAGATTAACTAAGATTTGTTCATACACTTTGTGTCATGCCAAAGGGACTTGAGACATAAGCGAATATATTAATAATTGTAACCGTTGAAGAAATAGGGGTACTTTTTGTTGTATGTGTACCTGCTAAACTGAAACTTCTTCCAGTTATTTCACTTGGCAGTAATAGCAAAATGTGTGCTGAATTTGCTTATTTGTATTTTAGGCTTCTATTTCGTCCCAAATGAAAGTAATAGAACGTCTGGCTATTTTAATGGCAGTAGTTAGCTTAATCTGAGGTGCTGTTTACTGGGAAAAGAGAACACAGACCTCTTTAGTCCTGTTTTTATTAAACACCAGGGTTTAAACAGTTGCCAAAGTCTTCTGACTTTTAATTAATACATACCACTGCTGTGAGGTCAAATCTGCATTAGCCTGATGACACCGCTCCTGAAACTTGCAACTGGTAGTTCTAGTGATCTTTGAAAGCTGTGAGTTGTAACTAGATGCTGAATCTTGTACAACCTTTTTAACTGATGTTTCTCTCAAAGTTGTCATAGCGGGGAAAGATAATGGATACCTTATTTAAGATAACTTTCAATTTCTGAAAGAACTGGTATTTTCTTGGGCTTATTTTGGTATTCTGGAGAAAGAACAAGGACATCTGAAGTCATCATACGCTTCAGAATAGGTCTGTTTGTGAGCGTGTTGATCCATCTGCCTTATCTTAGAGTAGCTTAAATTTTCTGCATGTGCACAGTCCCTTTAGTGGAAGAGTTCACTAAAAAAAAAAGAAGGAAAGTGATATATTTACAGGCCAGTGATCGTTCAGACTATTTTTTATGGAGCTGTCTCTAAATTTTTTGTTTTCTTCTTAATATTAAACATCTTTCTGAAACAGGCAGGGACAGTTTGTGGTCAAGAATTCTGTAGAGGTATTTATCAGTGCGTTGTGGTTGGTTTGTGGTGGTTTTCTTTGTTCCTCTCTTTTTAGGTCTCTAAACATGAGTCTAGTGGGAGAATTATTTTTTTAGTAATAATTTGATTAACTGGTAAAATGTCTCTATTCTTACAGAGCTAAAATCATCAATATTTGATGACTGCAAGAAAGAAGAATGGAAGGTATAGTTTTGTTACAATTTTTGTAGGAATGTTAGAATATACTTGAATAAGAAATCTCTATTGCTTGAGTACACAGCAAATAAGTATCACTTAATGGCTGTCGCTTTCATTTAAAATTGTTTTCTCTCCAAGTAATGGGTTTTAGTTCTGTTAACTCAGTTCTCTGTATAATATCTAATGAAAAATCCAAGGGCCAGCATGGTAAGAAGTGGTTAATTTTCTCAGTTCTTTAAGGTTTGGAAAAAAAAAAAAAAACAAACAGAAAATGTTCCTGCTGTTATCTGCTTTTCTTTTCTTTTGAAAGACTTGTACTTTATTAATTTCAAAAAATATACTGCTGTGCAGTACGTGTGGAACAGGATTCTGCAGTACGATACCTGTTCAAGCTGCTTAAGCTGTAAAACAGTTTTAGAATAAGTACAGATGTATTTAAGCAGGCCATGGGGTAAATTAGGCAGGAATTCAGAATACTTGTGTCAAAATGAAAGTTTTTAAGTACTTTCTATTAGGAGAAGCGGGGCTACTCATTTAAGATGGAGCTCATCTTTTGAAAATCCTGTGTGCAGGGAGATGCCTTCTGGTGCTGTTTGAGATTAATTTCCTACTGCAAAGTTGCTATATGCAAGTGATAAAAAGATAAACTATATTTCACCTTCAAGTTTCCATGGCAAGTTGTTTAAGAAACAACATGGGCTTCCTATAGACCATCAATTGACTAAATACTTGTGTTTTTTTAATATATGTAGGTAATTCTTCTAGATGATTACACTACTAAATTACTGTCAATGTGCTGCAAAATGACTGATCTGCTGGCAGAGGGTATCACAGGTAAGCATAATTCTCTTTAATATGCAGATGACAATATCCTGATAAGAAAAATCTAAGAATGATAGTGATGGTGCCTTGGCAAGGAATTTTCTTAATTTGGTTGATGAAGACAAGTAGCTATGGGATATTAGGCTAGCAGACTTTCTGGCTTCTACAATTGCCCAATTGTGTTTGATTTTTATTTAAAAAAAAAAAAGGATTCTCTGCCTAGAAGCTAAACTTTTTATTTTAATCTTTTACTAAAGCTCACTGTAAGGATTTTTGTGTTGTTGGTTTTGTTTGGTGGTTTTTTTTTTTAATTTTTACTTGGTTGGTTAGTTTTGTTTTGTGGGTGGTGGGTTGGTTTTGGTGGGGAGGGAGGCGGGAAGTGTGTGTTTGCTCATGTCTAGCATGGGGTAACTGAGAAGGTTGTCTGTCACAGATGTTATGTCAGTTGAAGTTAAGGGGAAACAAGCTCAGTAAAGAATTAAGTGAATGTTAGTAAAACATACAAGAATAGGCAAATTGCTCTTTGCATTTTTCTCTTGTGTTCTGTAAATCAGTAACGTCTGCTGCTCTGAATACATTTAAGCTCACGAGCAGTAGAGTTAGGATACAAGGGCAGAGACACATAAGTACTGAAGACGGAAAGAGAACAGGATACAAAAACTGAGGTGGTTGCAAGCAAGTGGATGTGATGGAGGCAAGAATTTAAATTCTGTGTGGATATATTTTCAGTTCTTCTCAAAATGAGAGTTTTCGGTAATTAAAAAAAACAAACAAAAAAACCAACCCAACAACAACAAAACAAACCACACACCAAAACCTAGAAACTAAATTATATAAGTGATTACTTTTAACTAGAGTAAGTCCTTAAGCAACACTAACAGTAATTAGATTGGCACTTTTCCAAACAATCTGGGAGTAGTTTCTAGTGGAGTGGAGATTTTCATCTGCTGGAATGTCTGTTCTGTTCCTTGCTGTTGGCCACTGCTGAAAGTAAATAACAGATTGATTGTGATAGATCTCACTTCTGCAGCATGCATGCTTTTCATGTGTGTTTTCTCTAGTAAATTTTACGGGCTCTTCCTTCCTACAACATAAAAAAAGGATTTTTTTCCTATCATAAAACACTCTTCAAAGTTGCTTTTTATGATTAACCTTTCTGTAATGTTTATTAGTGTATCATCCTGCCAAATGTTTTTTTTCCCCTGCTTGGTTTTGAAGTTGAAATGAATACACAAAATATAAATTACCTAGTTTTTAATTAGCTTTAGGTTTTTAGAAACACTTAGTTTATTTTTCCACAAGTAGCAAGACTTTCCTTACTCCAACTATTCAGTACAACATGATTCTTCTGAAAATATAGCAAAGCTGTATACATTTCTCTTCGTGGAGTGTATTTTTAATCATAATCAGTACTACTTACCCTTTGTGAGAAGTTTTCAGTGAGTATGTATCCTGTTCATCAGTACGAAACACTTTCTTTTTAGTGAGTATACTACTGAAATGAACCTGTCTTTCCACATGCAAATGGCTGGCATGACTTAATGTCCTTGTTCTGCCCTCCCCTCCGAAATTAGAGCTACATGAATCTCCCTGCATTCTCAAGCTAGTGTACTGTAACACTGTGTAGTAATGACTTTATTAAATGGAGAAAACTGAGTTGAGTGAAGCTGATCTGCTGAAATTGTCTAATTTATGCCTGCAATTATATTGAAACAGAACAAGTGTGCAGGAAGTAAGCAAAGGACAGAAGAGGCTCTAGTTCAGAACGGTGCCCTATGTAGTTTCATTCTCCCTCTTCTTCAGTGTGCTGGAAAAAGAGCAGTCTTGCCGAGGCAGTTCTCTTGCAAGGTGTTTTATATTGGGCCCCGTAGTTGGCGCATGCTTGTATTGCCACACCTTTCTGTGTGAGGGCAAAACGCTGATTGTGTAGAATAGCCAGGAAAAAATCAATACTGCAAATATAGTTGGCACTAGGCTGAGGGTTGAAGTCTTGTGGTGACTTGCTGTATTTGAAATAACAATTAAATAAAAAAATCAAGGCTCTCTTGGCAGCAGATAAGTCCTTGTCACTAGTTTTGTGGACAATTTGTTTGGTGTTATTTTACTTTCATCACCTCTATAAAATGTGTATGCTGCTTTCCTTACAGATGCATAAAGCTCTTAACTATAAAAATGTAATATTTCTTACTTTATAGTGGTGGAGAACATATATACAAACCGTGAGCCTGTCCCACACATGAAAGCAATATATTTCATAACTCCCACCAAAAAGGTTAGTGTTTTAAAGGAAGTTTAGCAAGATCTTGCAGACTGAGAAAGCAATTTTATTTCAAAGCATTTATTTACTGTGCACAACTCTGCGGTACTTGATTTTTGTCCTTTGTGTGATGCTCCTGTGTGATGCATAGTTTTCTGGAATGAAAAGACAATGCATTGTCACCACAGAGTATGTTGCAAATGTACCTTTTGATGGGTGGAGGCACTATTTCATTGCTTAGATATTAGTAATGTCACTGAACGAGATGTATCAGGTAATAATGCAATACATTGAACAATAGAAGTCAAAGTAATGGCTCTAATAAGTTACTGTCACTTCCTAGAAATTCTTGAGAGAGTAAATCTCAGCACTGTCATAGGTGGGAAATGATGCAAGTATCTTGTGTTTGCTTCCTAAAGAGGTCTTGGTGCATGACTGACCTTCTGTAATTGTTTATTATACTTGGTCTGGAATTAAGAATCTTCTACTTAAGTGTTTTCTTAAAGGTTGATTTGTAGTATTCCTAAGCAGGACTGGGTAATTAACGAGGCAGGAGGAGAGGAGGGAGAAGCTTTCTTTGTGTGAGGCAAGGCAAAACACTAATGACTTTTTCCTTTTTTTTTTTTTCCCCTACCCCTGTAAGTCTGTAGATGGGCTTATTGATGATTTCATCACTAAATCATCCAGCAGATACCAAGCAGCATATGTGTATTTCACTGACTGTAAGTAAGCTTTTGTGCTATAGTTTGATAACTGCATATGTAAATAAGTAGCCTTCTTGACTTTCTGTAGGTTAGTAAGTGAAAGTTTTGGGTACTGTTTCGTGAGAGAAGGTTTGAAACTCAAGTCAGAACTTACTTTGGTTGACAGAACTTGGTCACTGTGCCATGTGGCAGTAGTAGTCTCTTTCAAAATTACCAATGTTGATTGTTCTCCACCTCAGCTTTCAATTTACGTAATCTGGTTTTATTTGTAAGTATTCTAGCCTTCTGTGTTGGAGAGTGTGGAGGAAGATAATTCAAGTAAAACTTTGTATCTCGTATAGACAAAACAGTACTCAAAAGCATTAGAACTTGCTGCAAGAACAATGTTTTGTAATTGGGTATTTAGGTAGGTCCTTCAGACTTGAGCCAGCTTTTTCCCCCTCACCTATCACCTAAAAGAAGGTGCCTACTTAGCCCTTGCATGCACAATACAAATTGCAAAGCAGAGGCAGTTAGTGCACATGGGCTTAACGTGACTGCACTTGGTCAGTGTGACTAAAATGGTCATGTAAAGGAGGGAAGACAAAAAAGAAAAAACAAACATGCAGCTGAAGACAGAGCATGAATTGTGGCTATCTCTGGATGTGCATGGATAGTAGGTTTCTGCTACCATGCGTTCTGCAAACAGTCAACACCTTTTTGTTTCTTGTTTCATTTTGTGCTGATGCAGTGATTCTTTTTCAGGAAAATACTGCTGCCTTGCTATATGTTCCTTTGTTGCAAGTGTGCAAGATCTCAGTTTGAATACTTGCCAAACCTTTGCACGTTGGGAGGAATTGGAGAAATAGCTTTGTCACTTCCAATTTTGTGTAGTATTTATCATCCAAATATTTCTAAAATTCAGTTTCTAGACTGGGATCCAATGTAGCCTGTAGGTGTAGTGGAACGTATTTGAGATCTATAACTAAATTCCATATTTATCTGTTTTTTGATATTTGGTATGTACGTATTATTTCTCCCATTAAGCTTTTTTGTAGCTTGGGAAATATTTTCTCCCTCCTATATGAGAAGAAATAACAGAAACTTTTGATTTGTTAAAATCAATGTCCTTCACTGCTGCAGACTAATGGGTGTTCTACAACTTGGCTTGCCAAAAACTAGTGAAAAATGGTCAGTGGTGTTTCTTGAAAAAGAGATCTCAAACACAAAATATTGATTACAAGTTCTCTTTTTTTGGGAATATTTGGCAACATTTTTGCATGTTACTGTTCATTGGTTCTTAATTTGGAATTGTCTGTTCTGAATACTGTAAGCTTGTAAGTAAGCTAACAGCTGGAACATGCACAAATGATTTATACTTAGAATCTTCTTTTTCCCTAGCTTGTCCTGACAACCTCTTCAATAAAATTAAGTCTTCCTGTGCAAAATCAATCAGGCGATGCAAGGAGATCAACATTTCCTTCTTCCCATATGAGTCTCGGGTAAGTTGCATTCTGTATCTCAACAGCAGAAAATAGCCTGGAGCACTGTTTTCAATGTTGTTGACCTGTTAGAATCACAGAATCATTTAGGTTGGAAAAGACCTTTGGGATCATAAAGTTCAGCTGTTAACCTGATGCTGCCAGGTCCTCCACCAAACCATGTCCCTAAGCGCCTCATCCACATGTGTCTTAAATACCTTCAGGGATGGTGACTCGACCACCTCCCTGGGCAGCCCGTTCCACTGCCTGACAGCCCTTTGGGTGAAGAAATTTTTCCCAGCATGCAATCTAAACCTTCCCTGGTGCAACTTGAGGCCATTTCTTCTTCTCCTGTCGTTTGTCACTTGGGAACAGAGACCCACCCCACCTCTCTGCACCCTCCCTTCAGGTGGTTGTAGAAAGCGATCAGGTCTCCCCTCAGCCTCCTCTTCAGGTTGAACACCCCCGGCTCCCTCAGCTGCTCCTCACAGGACTTGTGCTCCAGACCCTTCCCCAGCTCCGTTGCCCTTCTCTGGACACACTCCAGCACCTCAGTGTCTTTCTTGCAGTGAGGGGCCCAAAACTGAACACAGGGTTTGCGGTGCGGCCTCACCAGCGCCCAGTATAGGGGGACAATCCCTTCCCTGGTCTTGCTGGCCACACTGTTCTTGATGCAGGCTAGGATGCCATTGGCCTTTGTGGCCACCTGGGCACACTGGCGGCTCCTATTCAGCTGTTGACCCACACCCCCAGGTCCTTTTCTGCTGGGCAGCTTTCCAGCCCCTCATCCCCAAGCCTGTAGTGTTGCAGGGTGTTGTTGTGACCCAAGTGTAGGACTCGGCACTTAAGCTTTTTGAACCTTGTGCAACCAGCCTTGGCCTGTGCTGTCCAGATCCCTCTGAAGACCCTTCCTACGCTACAGCAGATCAACACTCCCACCCAACTTGGTGTCATCTGCAAACTTACTGAGGGTGCACTCGATCCCCTCATCGATGACTCATAACAATATTAAACAGAACTGGCCCCAGGACTGAGCCCTGGGGAACCAGAACTTGTGACTGGCCGCCCACTGGAGTTAACTCCATTCACCACCAATCTAAGGGCCAGGCCATCCAGCCAGTTGTTTTTCCCAGAAAGGATGTACCCATCCAAGCCATGAGCAGCCAGTTTCTCCAGGAGAGTGATGTGGGAAACGGTGTCAAAGGTTAGAGAAGGAATCCACTCCTTAAGAGGAGGAAAGTATTTTGACTTGTCTTTAGTAAGCAACAAAGTTACTGCTGGTACTGAGGCGTTACTTGGAAAGACTAGGTAGGGTGGTGGGTGGGAATAGGAATGGGTAGAACTAACTACTGGTGAACATCAGGAGAGGAGAGCAGATGGATGAGGAGAGCTGAAGGGGAGGGGAACAAAACCAAGGCCTGACAAAAAAGGAGAAATAAACCCCATACAACTTGGACAAATTTTTATTGAGAGGAAAGTAAGAGAAATCTGTATTTTCTCAATTAAAAATGTGACACCACCAGTGGAAACCAATGAGTGGTTTCCATGTGAAACAACACAGTAGGTATTGTGTTGAGAAGTGATTTGTTGCTCCTGCACTTCATCAGATACAGAAGGTTGAAATGCACTCTGACACTCACTGATACAGTGAAGCCCCCAGGCTCTGTCCACTCTTGGGAGGTGTAGAACTAACCCTGCATGTTTCCCACAAGTCTTTGCTGTATTCTTCAAACCTTATGAATATATCCAGGGTCAGAACTCTTACACATACCAAGTGGCAGGTGAATATAGGAGAGATTGCTACTATTTATGTTCTCTTGTGCTGCAGTTTCCTAGTGAGAAGACACAATCCCTCTTATAATACAGGCTTTTTATGATTTAGATTGAGAAGCCATCAGAGAATCAGTGTGGTGGTTTGCTTGTTTATTTTTCTAGTGGTGTTGATGTTCCCATGCTTTGTTTCAAACTAGTTTTGGGAGTTCTGCTAAAGGTGCTCTTAAGAAAAAGTTCTGTAGCTTCCATTACCAAAGAAAGCATACCAAAGTGGTGTTGTCCTGGTTCTCTGAAGGACTTACCATGAAAATAGAAATTTGGACTACTTTTCTGAAGTTGAAAACAAGCAACACTTAGTCTCTTCTTGGTTTAGTTTAGTGTTCTCAGTATTTTGGTTTGTGGGAACACTTTGAATCCTTAACAAAGGAACAGAGAATGTTAACTTGTTCTCCTAATTTAAAATCCCTGGGCTTGCTTTCACATTTACTCTGTGATAAGAGTTGATGACTGAGCTCTGTGCAAAGTCCAAGTGAAACAAACACCTTTATCTGGATGGATGTTCTTTGGCTTTGTAGTTAGAGTCCGACTGAAGCTGGAGAAAATCCATTTACTGACAATGAGATTGTTTCCGTGTTTGCATTCCATTTACAAAACTGTTAAAACCAGTTTTTTTTCTGTATAGTACTAAACATCTTTTATCAAGGTTTAGTGCACTTGAAGAATTTCTGTTCTCAGAGGTAAAGTCTTAAAATAATAAACAGATACAATATGTGAAACTGTAATTTAAACAAATTTGATACGTTCTATGATCATTCTGATACTGCGCTGTGTGGCTTTGTATGAGAGACTGGATGGTGTTTAGTTCTGCCTGTCTCAGGTCCCTCCATCTGTATAGACAGGTAGCAATTTGAAAAATAAAGTAATTTACTTAGGGGAGGAAAGCAGTGTAGGAAAAGAGTGTGAGAACAAGAGGTAAATGAGCTCAACAGGACAGACTGAAGTATGATTTTTTAAAAAAATATATTATGTATGACTCTTGCAGCATGTAGTTTCAAAGTATTAGCAATTCTTTTACCAGATACTTTAGAAATACACAATTTAAGACTTCTTCTTTTTTTCTTGATTGTGTTTTACATAGGTATTTACTCTCAATGTCCCAGATGCGTTCTACCGCTGTTACAGTCCAACTCTGGAAAAGACAAAGGATAAAGATGTTGTAATGCAAGTAATGGCTGAACAAATTGTTACCTTGTGTGCCACACTAGATGAGAATCCAGGAGTACGATATAAAAGGTGGGGCAAAAATACAGTTGCATAATGTAGTTGCTTCTGGGACTTACCACATTGGTAGTAGCTGGAGGTTGCAACATGTGGTTGGTTTTTTTGGTTTTTTTTTTTTGTTTGTTTGTTTTTTTAAATTGTGGATTAATTGCTTTTAATCCACAGCTCTGAAATATGGAATGATAGGAAGTTGGGAAGTGTAGGCAGAACAGTGAATTGTTTCTCTGTGTGTGTGCATATAGCAGTACTTACTATTCCCTGTTCAGTCATGAACTGCTTGTTTCATGGGCAGAGTCATCCTACTGACCAGTGTGCTGCATTCTCTTACACTGCCTGCATAACCCTGTAACAGAACTGCTGTTGGTAGTTTTGCATTTCTGCTTGGCATCAAGGAGTTAATGAATTGTGGAGGCAGATGGGGTCAGGACTTCTTCGTGATAGAGAGATTGAGGAGAATACCTCTTGAGCTTTGATAGGGAGTACATAGTAGTGTCTTGGAAGTCAAAGTAGGCATCTGAAATTATGCTCAAGAATTGCATTCTGTGGTGTAACCTGAAGTGGTGCCTTATTCTCTGGAAAGGTAACAAAGAAATAATTGCTTGACTCTGGGTTTTTTTTCTTTCTCTTTCTTTTTCCTTTCTTGTTTCCCACTCAGAGTGAGACTTTTAGGTGTTGGGCCATATGCCAGCTAATGTCAGTCTTTTGGCTGAAGCTGTTTCTACTGTGTGAAAGCATTCCGACAGTGAAATTGTAATGTAAGACTGAAAATATATTGGAAATACCTAGAATGGAGTTCAGAAACTGCTCGTGAAACTAGAGGATCAATCTAGGGAGTGGGTGTGTTTTTTAAAGGTAGCATTTTAGTGTTTTAATGAAGAAATGTAAGGGTTTTTTGCATGTTTCCTTTTTTTCCCAGCAGGCCATCTGATAAAGCCAGCAAACTTGCACAGCTGGTTGAAAAATATCTTGAAAACTACTACAAAACTGATGAGAAGAGCCAATTAAAGGTAGAAAGTGAACGAAAATGTTTTGCTTTTTTGTAAGTCTGGGTGGGGAAAAAAGTTATGTTTGGAATATGTTTTGAGAACAGATTCTACAAACCCACATTTTTATTAATGAAGGCCACTAGTTGCCATTTCATGTTGTCTGTGAAAGCAGCTTAAAGGTGGTAACTGGTAAGTAAATCTGTATGTAAACAAATACAACTTGTTTGAGAAAACCAATTGTACTTGAAAAATTCACCCTATGATAATGTAGGGGATGATACAAACCAGAAGTGGATACCTTCTGTTCTAACATCACCTGTAGGGCTATATGTAGAAGGGACTTCACTGCAGAATTGAAATATCTCCCATTAAGGGATTTATTGTCCACAAAGATCCAGCTTTTCACATAAATCATGTTTTTGGGCCGTCACTGCAGATCAGGACAGCTGCCTAATAAACACATGGGGTAAACCATTCTGACTCAGTGATGTTCCATTCTGCTGCAGAAACAAAGGTACTTGATGCTACTGCCACTCTGCTACACCCCAAAATGAACCTCAGTTGAATGTTTGGAGTTTATTTTCTTCTGTATTGCAGCACAGTATGGGTAATCTACTCTGAAATACAAACAGTACCCTTATTTGTGAAAAGTCAGTGGGAGGCTTTTTTTTGTGGGTTGCTTTTATTCTTTGCACACATTGTTCATTAGGTGAGTTACTGCATGCATTGCAGTGGGCTAAGATCATTGCCTTAAAATTAGTATTTAAAAATCACTGTGTTGTGGTTATTTAAATGTTTGGGTTTTTTATGTTGATGAACACTTGGACCATTTCTTCCAAAAATGTCTGCAGTGCTGTAACTTACTGTAAATAGACGTAACATGCATTAACTTTGTACTGCATATCTTAACTCTACATTTATTTGATGGCTTTTTAGGCTAAAACCCACTCCCAACTAATAATAATTGATCGTGGCTTTGACCCAGTATCAACTGTGCTTCATGAACTCACCTTCCAGGCAATGGCATATGATCTGCTGCCAATTGAAAATGATACTTACAAGCAAGTACTTTAAAGAAAAAAAAATCTAACCCTTTATTCGGATAATGAAATCTATGGAATTGTTTAGATAAACTGCACCATAGCAATATTGGCTGCTTGTATTGTATAAGGGGTGCTTCATTTATTATTGGTCTCTCGGTTTTGTAGCTTCCTCTTTTTGTTAACTTATTTAGTTGAAATTAGGTAGGATCTAATTAGCATTTTTGCAGAGTTTTGAGTCTTAACAAATTTCTTTTGTTTTTTAAAAAAACGCACTTTGTGCTAGGTTCGAATCAAAACCTTGGTAGTGTCCTTTCAGGTTCTCTACCTTGCCTTTCATGTTCTCAGCCTTGTTGGCCTAACGCAGCAAACAAACCCAGCAATAGGATACTGAGTAAAAGCTGAGTTATTTTTCAGGAATGCTCACTTCCACAGCTCCAGTCATGTACTTTGTGTAGTTGTTAAACTTTACCTCCTAAATGCACGCTTAAGTAAGGTACGTTCAGTTTATAAGTATTATTTTATCACTTTTTGGAATAGCGGAACCTTGTTTTGCGTAAGGTATGTTCTTTGGTGTCAGATTGTTCCGACACCAAAGGTTTTGGTAAGGCTTTGCTTCCTGATGACCCACTACAGCAAACGAGACTTAGCTGCCTCATTGCTCAGTTAAGCAACCAGGAGCGTGTATCTTCCCTGTCAGAAACACCGAGTGAATGTTTTCATAGAAAATGTAGAATTCTATGAATCTGAAACTTGCTGGGTATGAAAATATAGCAGAGTATGTTTTCTAGGTAGTTGTGATCTGACTTTCACCATCTTGGGTTGTTTTTATATTTTTCTGCTTTCTGGCTGTATACACCATGTGAGTTTCTCCCAAAATGAAAAAGCTGTGTAGTGTGATGGCTATGTGCCTTGTGGTTGTAGAAACCGAATAGCTGGTCTGTAATGCTGTGAAGCATGTTTCTTGTGTATGTGCAGTAGTTTGTCCTACTTGGTCTGTTTTGTGGGTGAATGGGATGTCATTTTCCTTCAGAATTACAGAATATCTTGTAGTAGATACCCGCACTGTGCAATCTCAGTGTGTATTGCTTTGCACAACTTGCCTCTGAACCCAGAGCGAAGTTGACATTGAAAGCTGAAGAGAAATTGAGGTGCATGTAAATATATGATTGAAACTACTTACTGTTGGTTTAAAAGAACTTATTGCCCCGCCCCCCCCCCAATCTAAGATTCACCTGCTTCTTCTGTGTTCAAAGACATAATCTGTAAAATTCTTACGTAATTTGTGTTGGACAATAACTTGGCTTATAAGTGAAAACCTGTGCGTGTTGCTGCTACGGCCATGCATGCGGGATAAGCGATAATTCATACTCTAACAAGTTACTAGAATGAGGGGGAGGCGGGGGAAACTAAACCAAATAACTGTCTGAATTTTCTCTTGGAAGATACAAAACAGAAGGATCTGCTGGGAAGGAACGGGAGGCAATTCTGGAGGAAGATGATGCGCTCTGGGTGAAGATTCGGCACAAGCATATTGCGGATGTGATAGAGTATGTGAATAAGTAACAAAGTAGTTAAAAATGCAAGTTGTAAAAGTTTCTTTGAGAGAGGTGGTTTCTTTGGGAGGAGTCATTAACAAAGTAGGAATACAGGCAGTAATGAAGATGATTTGCAATACAGACTGCATTCTTTTGAATAATGATGCCAGGAGGAAACCATACCTTCAGAAAGACAGTATGTGCATAGGTATGCAGTTCTCGTAAGATTAATTACAGTTCTTCAGGAAAATGGCAATAAATTTATTTCCTGGGAAGTATCTTCAAATCTTTCAAATCTAAAGGGATTATTTTGCATAAAGTACTAGCAAGTTATTGCATCAAATGACATTGTGCAGATACCATAACCAGAATGTTTAACTTCAGCTTCCTTTGTCAACAAACACTCTCTTTGATGGAGACCTGCATTTTTTTCAGGGAAATACCAAAGCTTTTGAAAGAAGTTTCATCAAAAAGCAAACCGACAGAAGGAAAAGTAAGTTGTTTTAATGTATTGCTGTTTTTCCTGGTAATTTAATTATTTTCAGCTGATTTTTTTTCAGCTGTGTAGTTCATAAACTTTTGATTTCTGTAATAGGTCTATCTCGGCAGTTTTTGAGGGGACGAAAACAAAGCAAGGCTGCAGCAGGAAGGGAAGCAAGGATGACAAGTATTGGGGGGAAAAATTTTTAACTTGTATCATTTCTTCACAGTTATCGATATCTTCTCTGGCCCAGTTAATGAAAAAGATGTCGCACTATCGTAAAGAGATTGGTAGGGTAAGGGGTCTTTTATATCTACAACTTCACAATAAATCATTTTGTACATTAATTGTCTATGTTGTTTTATTCTGTCGTGTTTCCTAGTCACTGTGCTATGTAACTCTTCTCCAAATTAGTAAGTTCACCTACTGTAAAATTTTGAGCAGAAAACTTGCTTTCAGGTGTTTCATTTTAGTATGTAAGAGAAGACCTAAATGATTTGTGTGCTTTGAGACTTGAAGATAGCACAGCAGTTTAACCATTTCAAAGATATTATGGGGGTCAATCCCTGAGTGAAGGGTAAATCACAAATTGCATGATGGTACTGAAGGATAGTTGAAGGACTGACTCTGTAATCAGTAAAAGTGTTTGCTTGATGTGTTAAAAAAAGGCAAGTTACGCCAACTTGTTTGTTTTATCTTCTAGCAAGTTGTCCATCTTAACATAGCAGAAGATTGCATGAGTAAGTTCAAATCTAACATAGAAAGGCTCTGTAAAGCTGAACAGGTATGTTTAAAAAAACCCCTTACAAACCAACCGATTTGCTGCAAATACCACTTTTTTGTCTGCAGGCTTAGATGTTTGTTTTTAATTGCTAAAAGTAGTGTCTTTTTTTTATCACTTTTTGACGCTCTGCCAATAAATGAGTTGCATTTATAGTTCTGCTTCTTTGTCTTTGAATCTGGCTGATTTGTAGAAGGATTGTCTTTGTGTTTTCTTTGTTCAAAACTCCTATAAAGTTGTCTCACCATGTTCTGCAGAAGGAAACCTTTTTTAAATGCTAGGGGAAAGCACCTCTTAGGGTGAGGCATCACATTGTATAACTAATGTCAAGTTAAAGCTTATGCATTTATACTTATATGAATTCTAGGTATCAAACAGTTTTAAGTGTTTAAGTATGTTACATAGTAATTATTAAAATAATTAATGTATACTCACTAAAAGCACTTTTTTAAATTTAGGACTTGGCTCTTGGAACCGATGCAGAAGGTCAAAAAGTGAAAGACACTATGAGAGTCCTCCTTCCAGTTCTGCTCAACAGAAGTCATGAGACCTATGACAAAATTAGAGCTATTCTCCTGTATATCTTTAGCACAAATGGTATGATAAGCTGCCCTGCCTTTTTTCTTTTTTTTTTCTTAGTGCTATAGACTTCATCTCAAATTTTGGGGTAGCCCAGTATTTTTGCTTAAGCATCTGTATTGGAGTTGATGGCCAATTTGAAAGAAATACTGTAGCTTCTCTCAAATATTGAGAACGAGAGCTATTGATAAGGAGTTGAAGTGCAGATCCATACAGTATTTTAGCATCATTCCTGTGCTTGGATGTGTGCAACAGTTTAAATTTTCTCGTTTTCACGTAGTGTTGAAGCTGTTAAAGGGGGAGTTCCATGTCCATTGCAACCTGAAAATGAAGTCAATAGGGAAGAGTTTTTAGTAGAGAATATGGGTCTGAGCAATCTATAACAATATTGAGTTTTGGTCTCAAAAATGGGCCATTAAACAATTATATCTAAAATACAGTATTATGTTAAATTTAGACTGCGTGAACAAAAAAAAAAAATCCTGGAATGAATAACTCCCCAGAATGTGTGGGACAAAATTGGTCTTGCTCACAGTCACATGGTAATTAAGTTGTGTGTTTTCCTTGTATCAAAGGAACTACCCAGGAGAACTTGGACAAGCTGATCCAGAATGTACAAATAGAAAGTGATAGTGATATGATAAGAAACTGGAAATACCTTGATGTTCCTGTTATCTCTTCAGTAAGAATGTATTATTTTGCAATTTCCTACCGCCCTTGTCTACAGCTCTTTAAGCAACTCTTAGCAGTATTATCCAGGTGGATTTTTTGATTTGGGCAATTACTAGGGATTCTCGTTTTTATGATGTGTCTTAAGTGGTAAATCCTTTAAGCAATTAACATGTGTAAGTTTCAAAGTGAGATAGCTATAGTTCTTCCTTCTAAAATAATCAGGTGGTGACTTAAGCTAGTTGGTTTTGGAAAGTGCCAACTTACTCAATTCCTTTTCTCTGAAATTAGTGTTTGTAGTGTGTCCTTAATTCTTCAGGTATTGTGTTCTCTTTTATTATTATTTCTTTTCTAATTATTTCTTTAAAACTTCCTACTGATTTCCAACCCCCACCTGCTACTAACTGAGCATAAGTTCCAAAAAAACCAAATATAATACAACCATGTTTTGAAAATCTTTTCAGTCTGCTGCTCAGCAGCATAAACACCCAAGAAGGGACCGTTCTGCAGAAGAAACTTTCCAACTTTCTAGGTGGACGCCTGTTATCAAAGATGTTATGGAGGTAAATTTGACCAACTAGTTAGTCCATGGGTGCAGTGCAAAAATGTAATCAAGTGAGTAGTTACAGCCAGTCTTTTGAAATCCCGTAGCATCTTGAGTTACTTTTGTTAAATACATCTGTTAAGCAAAGTGATCACTTCTAGTCTGTCTAATATGGAGCATTAGACTGTTGTGTGTTAGCGATGCTCCTTACTGGAGGTCATTTTAAAGGTGAACCAAATGAAAGGGAAAACAAAGTCTTTGAACAGCTTGTCGTGATTAGCAGTGTTTAGTGTAACTTAAAGATATGGAATTTTTTTTTTCTCCAGTGGGTCTTTAAACTGTAATTCAAATCTAAACTGTAGATTGGCAGAGACTGGACAGTGTTACTTGCAACAAGTGTAGGTGCTTTGTTCTTAAAGCTCTTCCTAAGCATCAGTGACTGGTGTGAGGCAGAATAGTTTGCTGGACCCAGTGCTGCCATTCATAGACTGTTGGTGACTTTTGCATGTTCTTCTGTGTCTTTAGGGGACCCTAACTCCTCTTAGATATTGCTATAGAGAAGTTAAATACCTTAAGGTAGTTACAGATGAAAAGCTACTAGTGAAATTGGAACAGGTAAATCAATACCATGTTTTTGAAGAAAGCATATGTACTTCCAATTCCTGGTGAAACACGAAAGCTTTGTAGTAATTTTTACCATTATGTGGTCTAGCGTTTTGCTACATAGGAGTGTTGTTCATGAGATGCTGTTTGCAATTGGTTGTTGTTGTAAGAAATAGCTGGCTTTAGATTCCAGTTAGACATCCTGCTGGAAGTTGAGACTTGAGCTTTAGGTCTACGTGGCTGCTAAAGGAGGTCTTTGTTTTGCCCTTCAGGATGCTATAGAAAACAAACTAGATTCAAAAGACTGGCCTTATTGTTCCCAAAGTCCTCCTACCTGGAACGGTTCAGGAGTAGTAAGGTAAATTGTTTAATTTCTTGAAACATAGTTTACCCATTTCTTCATATTTTTTGTCATGTACATTCTAAAGCATTACAGAAGTGCACTTACTAAGCGCTAAATAACTTCTGTAACTTAATGTTAATGTAGAAATGCTATATTTCTACTTCATTCAAAACCTACTGAACTTGGTTGTTTAATGCTTCTTAGCTGTACATAGCTGCTTATTTGGAGTATCTCCCTCTGCCTCAGTTAGAAAAAGCATTTTCTTATTCTCAGAATGAGAAGTTTAAAACACTGAGCTTTTTAGTGTCAAGTAATCTCAGGGATGAATTATCAGTATACTGCAACTTTGGCAAAAAGAATGTTTTCAGTTTTTCTGAAAGCTGTTTCTGCTGTGGTAGTGCAGGTGTCATTCCTGAAGGTAATGATTCCAGTAAGTTAAATTCAACTTGTATCGGCCCTCTCATTAGGGGAGTATGGGCTGGCTGGATATTTGACCCATGTTGCTAGGGGATGGTTTAGAGAAATCCAGAAAAGTTGGAGGTCTTGGATTATTTGGTAATGAATGTGAAATGGTGTATGTGCATATTTACTGAGCAGCACTGTGTGATGATCGCAGATTTTTTTTTTAAGGTTTCTAACTTCTGTTCCTTCTTTCCCCGCCCTTTTCACTAGCTCTTGAACCTCCTGATCAATACCTGCCAATTTGACAACTTTATCACTTTTGGTAGTGTTATGAGACAGAATAGAGATGAGTGTTTCTATCACAGGAATGCTCGTTGGGCTAATCAGATCCTGGAATTCATAGGGAGGGCAACATGATACATATCCTAAACATGGTGGACACACTTGAACTGGAATTTGCACCTTACTAAATAAAAGACCAAAGGTACAGATAAACAGGCTTAGGAAAATAGTTTTATTACTCCCACTGTTAGCTAACTGTTGGTGTGCCCTTATGTTTCTGAGTGTGCACTGTGATCTTCAGTGCAAGGGAACACTAGGGTAGGTCATCATACATCGTGACTGGATCTGTCTTACAGGCTGGTGAAATTTTAGGCACCCTAGCAGAGATCAGGGCAGCAGATTATGTAATCTGAATCTGTACTTACTGTATGTTAGAAAATAGATTTTAAACTTCTTTCTCTGTGTTTCTGGCTATCTGAATCTTGATAACAGCCGAACATTTTTTTGAGGTTCTGTTCATGTTTAGAGGAAAAACTGCAGACTCCAGCTTCTTTGTTTGAACCTCTTATGAAAAATGCCCTGGAATTGCTACCATGCAGAATTAAGTTGCTTGGTAGAAGTCCTTTGTGTGTGTGTGTGTGTGTGTGCAACAAGATTTTTGCTTCGTATTTATTTTCCCCTGTGTGATAACTGGATAGTTTGGTAACATGCTAACTTGTCTTTGTTAAAATTATTTTAATTATCAACTTGTCTAAATTATTTTGCTGAAATTGGAATTGGTGAACTGCATGACAGAAATTCTTACTGCTTCTTAAGAGTGTAATTTTTACCAAAAATTAATCCATAAAGATGCATAGATGTCATCTCATGAAATCTTTCACAGTGCGCGCCAGAAGCCTAAAGCGAGCTCTCCCGATGAGCGCAAGAGTAGTGCAAGACTGATTATATTTGTGATTGGAGGAATTACGTATTCCGAGATGCGCAGTGCTTATGAAGTTTCTCAAGTCTACAAGTCCTGTGAAGTTGTTATAGGTAAGCTTGTCCTGGGGAAGAGAGTGGTAGGTAGGGGTTTACTAGATGTGTTTCTGGAAAGTGTAAGGATCTTTTTTCTTACATTCTCTAAGTTGGTTCAGTAAGATAATACTATACTCAGTGTATTTCTGCACATTGTGTACTTAGGAGAATCTTTTCAGTTTATCTAGATTGCTTCATGTGTGGGATTTTTTTCTTGCAACAAGATATTAAGGACAGTAAATACAGTTATGATCTACAGTAGAATCATCATGAATTATATCAGAAATACATTATTAAAGTAGGTTGATGTATAACAAAAAGGATTTAAACAGACCTAAATGTCTTTGCATTACAGTTTCCTCACAGGCTTTTGCGTCTGCTGGTGCTTTGCTTTCAGCTTCACTTACTACTCGCGTTGTTTTTTGGAACTAGTAGGAAAGCTGGCAGAGTACTCACTTGGGGAGGAAGGGAATTATTTAAAAAAACAAACAAACCACCAAACACAACAAACAAAAAAAGGCAAACAAACCCACAAAAAAATCCCCACCAAACAAAACAAACCAACCCCCAGAAAACTTCCATTTTAACTCAGCTGACTTTGCAACGTGACCTAGTTCTTGTCATGGATTCTTCAGAGACTTTACACCATGATTTATAGCTTTTGCCCTGAAAACTGAAGTAATCTCCCTGATCTTCTTAACATTCAGTAGTAACTGCATGAATTACTACCCAGGGTAGTGTTGTGGTTTAATCCCAGCCAGCAACCAAGCGCTGCACAGCTGCTTGCTTAGCTCCCCTCTCCCCCAATGGGGTGGAGAGGAGAATCAGAGGAAAAGACAAGAAACTCGTGGGTTGAGATAAGAACAATTCAGTAATTGAAAATCAATGAAATAGTGATACTAATAACACTAACAATACTAGTATTAGTACTAAGCTGTAATGAAAATAATGGAAAAGAAATTATAAAACTGCTCACCCCCCACAAACCAATGGCCAGGCAGTTCCTGAGTAGTGAAAGCCAAAGCCAGACCAAGCCTGAGGGAGAAGCCCCCCTGGCCCACCTCCTGGTTTATATACTGAGCATGATGTTTGACGACATGAAATGGGCCTTTGGTCAGTTTGGGTCAGCTGTCCTGGCTGTGTCCCCTCCCAGCTTCTTGCAGAGAAGAAGCTGGCAACACAGGGGCAGTATCGGAAACTGAGGAAGTCCTTGAGTTGATAGGAACATTAGCATGTTATCAATATTCTTCTTGGCACAACCAAAAACATAGCCTCATACTAGCTACTGTGAGGAAAACTAACTATCCTGACTACCAACTGTGAGGCTAATACTTCAGCAGCAAATGCTTGTTCTGTCAGCTGCTGTGCTTCAAGTAATCATTTCCACTCTTGCTGCTTCAGTGCAGGTGCTAAAACATTTGCGTGTATCACATATTAAAACCAAGCTTCTAGGTACAGAATGTTACCAGAGACCTGTATCCATCTGCAGTGGCAGCTGGTGTCTGGGTGCAGGGTCATAGAAACTAAATGGCTTGAGATGCTTATGTCTGGCAATTCAACTTAGTCTGGAGTTGCAAAAAGGATTAAGTCTACCATAGTTTTAACTACATAAATACTCTTCTCTAAAGCAATTTGCTGCAAGTTTTTCAAGGAAATGTTAGTCAGCAAAAGCCAATTTTCTGTAACTGATATTTCTGTGAAAATCGGTGTGTGGTGATTTTTAATTCAGATGGTTTCTTAATTTGCTGCAAATTTTTCAAGGAAATGTTAGTCAGCACTCTGTAACTGATATTTCTGTGAAAATCAGTGTGTGGTGATTTTTAATTCAGATGGTTTCTTAATTGTAGGGTAGAGCCTGTCATTGACTCACCCTTTCGCAGAATGGGCAGGTTTCTTGCAGGCTGGGACTGATACATGCAGTGCACGTGGCCCAGGGTCAAGGATGTTTCAAACCAGGCAGAGCAGGGGCTTGAAACTTGTACACAGAGTCCTAATCTGTATGTCTGGGTGTCTCGGCGTGTGGAGGAGGGACACTGCCTACCTAATGGCGACACTTACGTTTATAGGAAATGATACGGTATGAGAACACATGACTATATATAATGTGTGAAAACACTGCTGAACTGTTCTACTTCTCAGTTTTCCAGGTACAGTAAAAAAAACTGGCCTGTAACTGACGGGTTTTTTTAAGAGATGATGCCTGAAAAACAGAATTTTGGACTGATATAGTTTATACTTATGTTCTTTTGTCAGGTTCCACTCATATTCTGACACCTAAAAGACTACTGGATGAAGTGAAGAGCCTTAGTAAGCCAAAGGATATGGTCTGTATTAAGGATGAATAGAGATGATGTTTATGATGCACTAGGAAAAGACAAACAGTATGCACATATTCTTAGGGAACTGTCTTTTCTTAAATACTGTACCAGGACACTACATAGTTCTGACTAATGGAATGTCACTTTATAATTTAAATTTGCTGCTTTTTTTGAGGAGTAGAAGGCAGAGAGAAGAAAAAAAATAAATCTGAGTTTTAAATTCTGTGTAGTATAGTCAGTGTTACACTGTAAGTGCTTTTTGGAAAAGGGCATGTTCATTCCTAACAAATTATGCTAAAAGTGGTTATGATTATGTATAAACTGGAATTGTCTTTGGAAACTGTGAAACTTTTCTATAATTTATTTCTAAAAATCACTAAATTAAAAAAGGCCTAGGTTCTTAGGTAGAGACTTCTGAAGAAAATTTGTAAATATGAGTTTATGGTAAAAATATTTCACACAAGTGCAGTGTCTTTAATATTTTCTGTAAAATACCTCACTGGAAATTCTTTAAATATATGTAACTGAAAAATCAAAAGGTTTTTTTAGTTGGTGGTGGGTAAGGTAGAACGTTAATCACGGAAGTATGAAATGGTTCTAACTTCAATAAATAACTTTGGAAAAATGCTGTCAACTGTGCACTGAATTACACTTTATATTTAAGTATATAAAGGGTTTATTACTAAAGTTTTTCAAACAAACTTAACTTCTTACGAACTTCCTTACGACTGTGCGTATGTAGTCCTTTTTTTAGAAGCTGAATTGCCTGTGATACAGAAGTTCCAAGATTTTAGGCATAAATTCTCATTTTGAGAGAGTGGGGGCAGGGGAAAAGGAGAGGAGGAGAAGGGAAACAGTTGAATTTTTCAAATGGCTTGGTAATTTCAAAAAAAGCAAAAACCAAACCTGATCCATTAGAGTTTTCTTCTAGTTTGTTGCATGCCAAGAAGAAATACGTAAATCTGTGTTGAAGGGGATCAAATAAATTCTAAATTGTATTAACTGTAATACTGGTAACGTTTAGCTTTATATTAGAAAATGACATAAGTAATTAAATTACTAACCTTTTAAAGGGATGTTGTCTTCATATGCCTTGAAATGTTACTTTGTATATAGAATCAGAGAAACGTCATAATGAAAAATAATAGATTACTCACAGCTTTTTATTACATTTTCCCCCAACTGCAGTGGTATTCATTTTTTGTTTTGCAGAAATGTGCTTCTGTGTTTTCTTTTAATTTTGCCCTCAGGTTAACTAGTAGGTTAAGTGAATGTATTTACCTAGCAAAAATGTTCTATGTTAATTAGAGGGTAGAAAAAGGTCAAATTCCACCCCTACATCAGAGAGGAACGAAATGGGAGAACACTGTGTAATGATTTTGCAGTGTTGCAGGACGTGAGGCATGATGAGGGTAAGTGGCGGCAGCTTTCCAACGCCCCTACGTGAGTTAGGCATCTAATGCACGCTGACCTTGCTTTCAGTAGGAATGCAGGAACAACACCTTTTTCAATTAACTGGTTCATCAAATGTGCATCAAAATGTCAAAATCTTTTAGCAGAAATAACTTTTTGCTGAATTCTAGTTTCTAACTCTAAATATCACAATAAAAATCCACAAATTATAAAGTACGTATTTTCAGTGTTCGTTGCGTTCTTGAAGATGCATACTTTGAAATCAGTGTTAAACAATTAGGCTTCACTTATATGTGGCCTTTACACTTTGGCAGGAAGAACCCAAGTTTGGTGTAAAAGCTCTGTGTAGCTGCAATTTTTTTCCTACTGCCAAAGCTTAAAGGCAACAAATACAGAAGGAAATAACTGATAACAAAATGTCCTACTTAAGGACTGAAATAATTGATTTCAGTAATATATAAAATCCATTGTATTGATGTTTTTGTTGCACAGAGTTGAAGAAATACCAGCTTAAAATGTTGGATTACTGTTGCATATTCAGGGGTTAGACTTTTTGCAAGTGTCTGCTTTAGGTTTAAGTGTTACCACCAGCTCAAAACTTGATAGCTGATAAATACAGGACTTTAGACTTTTGAGTTTGGAATCCATCACCCACTTTTTCCAGAAGGCAAAGCCAAACCGTGCTGTAAAGGTGGATTAATAGAGATGCTTTAAGATAAGAAATCTGACAGCAGTATGTAGCCTAAACCAGCTCCTGTTTGTGTTGGTGGTGGGTTTTTTTGGTTTTGGTTTTTTTAGAGGAGCTTCTGAAGGATGGCAGTGGGGGAGGTAAGTTCTATTAAAGGTGCTTATTTTTTCCCCCAAGGATTATCTGTGCTACTTTTCTTCTAGATCAAGAATGAGAAGGAGATGTATAAAGAGAAAATCTAGTATTTTAGAGTACATGTACAAGGTCTATTACAATTTTGAAAGTTCCCGTTTTCATATTACACATCTTAAAATAGATACCTAGCCCATACATGTGGGCCCAGAATTGCATAAGCACAGATATTGGTCCGATTACCCTAAACAATAAAGGTAAGTATTTCCAAGTGCAGTTTGTTTCTTAAGTTGAATCGGGAAATCTGGACAAGATTCAGAGATGACGAAGAGGAAAATCAAAGGTAGGAAATAATTTCTGTGTCAAGAATGGCTAGAATTGGATCCTTGAGTAAGGGGGGAAGAAAAGGTGATGGCGGAGTGTGATGGAAGCCTCAAAAACCCCAAAAGGATGCTAGTGTGCCCACTGAAGAGACAGCCATAGGAAAGTGGACTAACACATCAAACTTGCAGCTGCCGAATTCAGAACAGAAGGATCTTAAGCATCTGGGACATCGTGCAGTAATGACGCACTTTAAATTGTTGTTGTTGTTGGGGGGGGGCAACTTGGCATACATCTTTTGGCTGTTAAAGATGATACTGCTAATTTGGAAGCACTCTGAGCTTCCAGGTTGCCAGAGAATGTTCTGAGGAAATGTCACTACGCGCTTGTCTCCTGCAATACGTTCGTTCTTGGGCGTTTGCTGTCAGGCTCAGTGATTCAAGATAAACAAAAGGTCTAGCTGTTCTTGTGGTGCAGAAAGATTTCTGTGGAAGAGATTTATCTGGCTTTAATTGCATGTAGGAAGCCTACAGCAATTACTGCAACTATGAAGTTCGTTTGTGAAGTAATAACCGGGACATTCCAAACGTTAACTTAGCATAGGGGAGGGAGCTTTTCATTGTCCTGTGCTGTTGTCCTGAGTAAAGCACAAACATGGCTAATAAGCAGAGGCAAATTGAGTTACAGGAATATACAGAAAGAGCCTAAGGGAGAAAAGGAATTTAATGGTATTGTTGGCTGTGAAGCGTGGAAGAAGCCCTGAGAAAAGGCACTGACTCAGGCTAGTAAACCAGTGGTAAACAGCAGCAAGTTTAGTGACCACTGCTTGTGTGAACAGTCTGGATCATCCATCCCCTGATGAAACTGCTCAGGTTTGCCTGAAAATGACTGCCCTTCTTAAGCAATGCACTGTCCCTTCTAACTTGAAGTTTTCCATCCATCCCTATATTTTGGGATTATACTTCGGAGTTGCCTCAGTCAATAGCATCCCTGATAATATAAGGCTGTTAAGTGACTGCTTGCTTTTATTATATGCACTTTAAATGATTTCAGAAGGAAAATAGTAGCTGACTCTTCTTGGCCTTACTGTGTTTTCCAGCCTACTTCCACCAGCTAAAATCTCAAATCCAGAGATACTTGACAAGATAAGGACATGACATTGAAGCAACAGACAATTGAGTAGTCAGGAATACACAGACAACAAACAGTATTACTCAGTTACTGAGACATGCAAGGAAGTATCTTAAAAACAAACCACTCTCAATGTAGGGCACTCCGAAAACAAAATAATTACGTATGTTAACGATGACTTGGTATGTTGGCATGATACTTATAGATGTCTCTGGTGCAGAGGCTGTTTACCTTTTGGTATCCTTAAGCAGCTGCTGTTAAGATGTGGGAAGAAAACATACGCAGTCATGACTAGGATTTATTCTGGTATTGGGGGGGTTGTGTGGAATCAAAAGGCAAAAAGTTAACTTGGCTTGTTTAAGCCAATTCTTATTAAGCTGCCTTAAGTGAATGCTAGAGAAGGTAGCTGCACACAGTAACAGGGGTTAGCCAACATACTAAAGACTAGTAATTTGCTCTCCAGTTCTGAGATTGAGTGTAAGCATGTGAAATACCAGTATGCCCTGGTGTGGTTTCCTATTGACAGTTACAGAACCGCTGGCAAAGTCGGCTTGCTGACTTTCTGATCTTTGTATTTATCACTTTGTATTTGCAGAGATACTTCAGTATCAATGAGCAAAACAGTTTGGCATTTGAAACCGGGTAGTTAAAGCTGTTTTCTTTTAACTTTAGCTAGATCTTCTGAAACCACTCGTACCATTCGTTCTGTAGCTTGCTTCAAACTGTTTGCTGTCTGTATGGCATGATCCAGAGTAGAATTTAAAATCTGTTGGGAATAAGAAAATACAGCCTTGTTAATACTGAAGGCAGATGTTCACATGGGTATGAAATAGAAAGTGATGTTCCATTAAGGTTCTAAGGGGCATTTCCACTCTGAATACATGTTGAGAAGTAAGAATTCTGAGTTATGTGATAGACTGCTCCAGGATTAACGTTGGAAGTATCTTTTATTTCTCTTTGATTGTGTAACTTTTGAACTGAAGGATGACTATGCTTTCTGAAGTAGCAGCCCCAGTGTGGTGCATGTGTGTGGTACACGAGCAGGTTTTCTTTTGACAGTGGTTTGTATGGCTAGGGTGATGTTCTTTGTTTCAGTATATGAAACATAATTCCAAAGGCAAGATCCAGTGCTCCTTTTCTGTCCCTTTCACCATTTATGCAGGGATTAAGTTGCATTAAAAGTCTGTTACATACTCATATGAGGTAATACATTAATATATGTGCAAATCCTAGGTTTTGTAACTCCCTTCTGTTTTTTCTCCTCAAATGGACTAGCCATGCTTAGACTAATAATCAACCTGCTAAAAACAGGATGCTCAGCAGTGCTGAGAGGTGGGGATGTGCTCTTTGAGACAGTTGTGTGGCTTTCAGTTTTCACTCTGAAGTCTTACATTTGCATCGGGATCATTGGCATTTCTGTTTCTGATGTGCTTTGCAGGTTTGCTTTGGGCAGACTTCTTGCTGGGTAAGTATTGATGCGACGGGATAATTTTATCACGTGTGCTTGAATAGCAGGCTTGGGCAGCTTCAAAGTTTTGCCTAAAGATAAGATAAATAGAATAAAATAAAAACTGGTTTAGTAAGCAAAAGAATTTCTAAGCTATGAATTAAACATATACACTTGACAGCATACTCAGTTGCAAGTTAACTTTACAGTGAGCCTTTCTTTCATTTAATTTTCCCTAATAATTTATATTACATCTCTACTGCAGTAAGACAGAAAACATTCCAGGATGCAGAGTCAGGAAACCTCCCAGTCACATTGTCTCGCAGTGTCATCTGTGTCATGGCTTCTCAAGTGCAGCTACTGTACTTCCAGGCAATTACTGCTGTTGAGTAAGGCTGTCCAAAAATACAGTAACAAAACTTGTCTGAGTTTGTCTACTCTGTGCTACAGTTAAGAATCCATTTTACACCTCAGACTGCTCCCAGTGTGATTTAACATTAACAACAGTTAAAAGTAGGACCGCTACTTATACAGAAATATCTGGTAGATGAACACAATTTCATCTTAAATAACACAGACCTGCTTTTGAATATGTGAGTGGGAACATCCTCTTAAAGCAAGATTTGTTGTTTTTTTAACTACTGAATGCATCAGCTAAAACAGATGTTTACTCTTCATTAAATTAGAAAGATTGAAGAACTAAGAAATACTCTTGCTCTTAGGGTAAATAATTTCATTAATGAGTAAAACTCTAATATACAGCATGCATCACAAAAAAATAAAACATTCCTTGTGCCTATGATACTGGTTTTTTTTCATGCTGAATCTTCAACAATGCCACCTTCTGTTGTACTACATACAGTCATTGCTACAGCTTACCTCTCAGAAGTTCTGTTCACAAGTTCACGTGGCTGTTTAGTTTTTTGAGTGGATATTCTCTTCTGTGAATAAGCTGGAATTGTTGAGGCCGTGTTTAATATAAAAGTAACAAAACACAGTAATTTTCTGTGTTAACATTTTTATCTATTTAGCATAAAATAAAAAAGCAATAACTATCACTGCTGAATTCAACTTGAATATGTTTAAGAATTTTTGTAAATGAGGCCAGATTAACCTCTTTGGGTTTGCTGTTGAATTTGGTTCTGTGATAAATGGTATGCAGACTTGTATTCCATTTCATACAGTAAAAGACTGCAGGGGAGAAGTGTAGAATAATCAGACTTTCATAATCCTATTACATTACTACTTTGATTTATAGTTTTACAGTATTTATGTAGTGAAGCAGCTAACTTCTACTTGCTTCTCACTGTTGAAAATTTATATCTTTCTGCCTATAGTTTCTTTGTACAGTATGTAGAGTCTGAGATTAAAATACTTTAGTTCAACTTTTTTGTATTTTTTTTTTTCAATCAGGCTTTCCTTGACTTTTCATGTCACACAGTTTGAGTGTAGAGCTGGAGTTTTCTTTAGTACTTCTTAACATTAGGTAACAGCTAGCACTGAAAAAATCTGCGCAGTAACACCCAATTTCAATATTCTTCCATGTGGCACTGCAAAATGAAATATTCCTGTCGTAAATGAAATATGGAAGGGACTCCTCTCATAAAGAACCAGAGAAGGTTAAAGCTGTTGTGCATAGGGTGAACAGCGAGGTGTGTAGAAGTCAGATATGCTGATCTTGCTCTAGAGCTGTAAACATCTGGTGTTTAGCTGCAATGCTACTGATGGCTTATATGAAATTAAATTTGGCTAGATATATGTGCATGTGGCTTTCTGCACCTTAAAATTTACCCTGTAACTGGTAATTATTCCAGTAACACATTATACTTACAGGATGAACCAGAAGTTTTATTTCTGCACAGGGCACAAGGCTGAACAGAGTCTGGGTAATTCCTCAGTTTAAATTGATCTCTGCTTCCTCTAGGGCATCTGTAGCTAAGTCCTGAAAACAAAGACATGTTTAGAAAAACAAACACTATAAACAACAATAATTTTGTGTAGATTTTAGTATTTTTACAATCACTGTACCTTTTCTGTCTCCACATAATCTTGTATTTAATGTTTTGTAACTTTCTGTCTCAAGTTCCTCACATTGTGAATCATTATAAGAATCACAGGCTGAGCTGTCTTCTGAATCACTGCCTAAAATCGGAAAGATACATTGAAAAGGTCTGAATTATTAGAAATTTTGGGCTGTGTACCTAGGTAATTATTCTCCTTCAGCACCATAAATTCTGAGTCCTTGCTGCCATTAACACTACTGGAATTTGAAAGTGCTTTTTCCTCCATTTTACAGGTGAGGATTGAACTTTTAAAGTCTGGCTTTCAGCCCTGATTGTAAGCCTCAAATGTGTAGGTATTTTTTTTTTGTGTGTGTGGTTGTTGTTTCTAGTCCCAGAACTGCTTTAACAAAAAATTAAGCTCTCCACCCCCCTGTCCTTAGGTTCTTGTATTGAAGCTTAAAATCCCTACAAGTTGAAGTGTTAGGGAAACAATGCAGCCTAAGTGGAATGTGAAGAGAATTTGGGAGGATCTAGTATAGCACTGCTGTAGCTATTGCACAAACCAGTACAATTGATAATGGCAACAGTCTATTATATTAAAGTGAAAGGATACTGCAGAGAAGCCAAGGACAAAATGCAGACCAAAGGTAAGAATAACCTACATATTCAGACTAAAGACTAAGTGCTTTTTTTTCTCGTTGTTGGGTTCTAACAGCTTCAGAGTATTCTGCACTGGAAAGATAGTATTGGGATGCCTGAAGAGAAACAAATGCTGACAGATTCTTAGTGAACCTCCAGGAGCTGGAGTCTTGGATGATTTGAGAGTTGACTTAACTAGCTCACAGTAGTCAGTGTAAGCCTTAGTTTGGATTCAGTGAAATTGCATTATTAGGAGCAGGACTTGGGCAGGAGAATACTTCTGGTCTGTGTCAACCCTGAACGGATTAAAGATTTAGGAAATCTTTTTTTCCTTTGCTTTCATGCAGACCTGAGAGTTGAATTCAAAACTAAAAGTAAAGTACTTTTAGTTTTGAAACTAACTAGTTTCAAGTTAAGTTTGAAACTTAACTTCTTAGTTAAGAATTTATTTCTAACAGAATTAAATAGGTGTGAGCACAGTTCTGACCTTTGTATGCCATCACTACTTACTCAGGTCGGTATCTGATAAATCACTGGGTTTTCTCTGAATGAAGAGTGAGCATGTTCCAGTTTTCCTGTCCTGGATGTCTGTATTTCTTTGAGCATGAAAACAGAATATCTTAATACCTTTATGACTAGCCTTATGAGCATATTATATTAATGTTTGAATACTTCTTAATTGGGAAGAAATCAGATTTACTCATAGTAAGAACTCTATCTGTATCAATTATCTGAAAAGATGGTAAGTAGAAGCTTAAATTAAAAATTAACCAAATGCAAAATAATGATTCCTTTAGTTAAAGGACACATTCTGACACCTGACTTACCAGAGGTGTTAAACACATCTCTAAATGAAACTATACAGGTTCACGTTACATTTGAAATATATGCAGATATATCAGTATGTTCTCCTTCCAGGCCTACCAGATTAGTTCACTACAATGATAATTTCAAGTATTTTTCATTGCTCAACACTTTGCAATCATCCCAGTTCAGGATGCTGAGTAGAGAACAAAGCCTCTTCTAATATGCTATTGAAATAACTCTGCCATTTAACCACACTAAACCTTGTATTGGTCCACCGAGAGAGGCTACTTTGTAATATGAATATAATCCTCTCTTTAATAAAATTGATGGGAGTTTAGCCATTTCTGTGGTGGTCTGGTACATCATGTACCTTATGTGATTAACTGGTGATAAACATGAAAACAGATCATCCTTTCATTTATATGTATTACAGACAATATTCAGTGTTTCCTGCAGAGTCCTGGGTAGAGACATAGCAGTGTGCATGCATGTAACTGTTCACTTAGCTGTAGAAAACCATGCCTGTGACTAGCCAAAACGTGCAGTACACTTACACTTTCATGTTTCCTTCAGCAGCATTATATTTTTGACTTAATATACTGTGATGATGGGACGCAAGACCTTCAACAGCATATTTTGCCTCAGGTGAAAGGAATCTCTGTTGCACTCAGAAATAAAAAAAATTAATGATTGTTTATATTGTGTAAATATTAAACAGGATAATGTGAACAGTGGCATCATTTGCACATTACTTCTCTACAGCTTTTAGTTGCCAGCAGTTCTGCAGTCATATTTATCTATTTACAGTTCCAACTGTAGAGCAGACTAGACAAAATATGACTTTTTTTTTTGTCTGTGAAGCTGGAATTCAAGACAGGTTTTCATGTTACTTTGAAAAGGATTAGCATATATTGATTAACTTCTCAGTGCCTTAAATAGCTTTGTAGGTGAGAAACTGCTTGTAGGCTTTTGCTTTCTGAACAATAATAAAGGCAGGCCTAGTAAACACAGTTAAGTCTTTCCTGAGAGAAGCAAACTTTTATCACAAATTTAAAAAATGTTTGAGAGTCTTTCCTTCAACTTCTCCTTTGGAAATCAATTCAGCAATGTTATGATATGCTTGCAGTATCTCGAAAGCCGAGCCATCATGCTGTGCAATAACTGACGAGAAAAATGATGTGTGATCTCAAAAGCTGAGTAAAATAACCTAATCCTTAAAAAAAAAAAAAAGTATGGAAACAGATCTCATACCATTGTGTTGGAAGAATGCTTGTTTGCTTGCAGACCTCCTTTTCCCAGAGGCTCCATTTCTCTTCTGGAACTTGGTTCATCTCTCTTTTGTAACCTTAATTGATCAAGGGGAAACCATTTATTTTACTTTTCTATTCTCATTGAGATGATTAACACTTATGAAATGCCCGCCAGGATGGCAGAGAGGGTATCCTGAATTGTTTCACAAAGTTTTGATGGCTAATTATGCAAGTATCTGCATCTCTCCTTTTTCTTGTTTAATTAAAAACACCACACAGATATTGGCAAGTAATTTTTTACTGGCACTGTATGTGAATGACTAGTCACTCACATCCTGAGTTGGTGTGGTTGCCATGAGTTTTACGAAGAGGTACGATTTAACTCCTAGTGAAACTGATGGTAGTGTTCTGGCTTCAGGAAACACCTTTCTGGGTCTTCTGAACCTCAGAGTAGGAATGCGAGGCTGGAAGGAAGTCTTGAGGATGTAGTCACAGACTTCTGTAAAAGGTTTACTCTGGAAATGCTCATGCTGTTCTGAGAGATACCAGACATCCCCATCTTTTCCATTCACCAAATAACTTCAGGTAATTTTTTATTAAAACTTCCATAGCAGTTTCAAAGTTTTCACTTACCTGGGAGGACAAAGCTTGCGCTTGTCACCTTCTAAAGAAAATGGATTTGCCTGTGGGATTACATCAGCTGTCTGACTTTTCTCTTTGTCTTTGTTCTGGTGAAGAATTGCAGTTTGAAGACCCCTTCTTTCTGGAGGATCAGCAATGCTTGACACTACTGAGCTCTGTAGAAAATAGCCATAGCATAGATACTTGTAGTAAGTGGTCACTGCATTGCAAGTACATGACTTGTAATTAGACCTGTAACTCAGAAAATAATCAGCATTTTCTGAGTGTCTCTGACTTTGGAATCGGAGGCAAATGTTGTCTAAAACATGGACTGTGAAGGCATTTGGTAACAGCTGTCTGTAGAAGGCCTTTTTTTTTTTGGTGTATTTATGACCCAGGACAAAGTATTACCACAATTAATAGTAAACTGAATTTTCTATAGCACAATGTTTGTTCTAGTAATTCTGCATTTTTAGGAATTGTGGACAGAGTAATATAATATTTCTTCCAACTAAATGGTAGTGATTAATTCCCAAGAACAAAGACAGCTTTGTAGAAGTCAAAGTAGCTGCTCATACTTTCATATTGTGAAATAAATGCTTTTGAAGCTGGGATTAAGAAAATTCAATGTTGGTGTCCCTTTATACCTAGATTTGTTATAATTAATGAAATTTTATGAAGTTTATTTCATGGGGGGGAGGGAGGAAAAACCCCAAACTTGTTATTTTAAGTAACATGCTATCTAAAGGCATGATGCTCTTTTAAAGAAGAACATGCAATAGTACTAACACATTGAGGTCGTGCAGACTTGCATCAGTGAAACAGGGTAATCTAGTCTTTAATAAAACACAGCATTACCTCACAAAGGGAATATGCTGAATGGGCAGATTCATAGGAAGTAAGCAAAGAAGAGAAGTTGTGTTTGCTCTCATCAGTTTGTTCTTTGATGTCTTCAAGCAGCATGCCAAGTCTAAATATTTCCCCTTCCACCTTTCTAAACCCAATTGCAACAGACAGTTAGTGAAACCTGTATAAAGATAGTTTATTTCTTACTATGATAACCATATTGGGCATTACAGTACACTTCCTATAAGGAAAAAAAAAAAAAGATGAGTTTACGGACTCCTTTTGAGGAACCTGAATTAATTAAATACTGAATTATAACTAGGGTATGTAAAGCCCAAGATGAACTTCTAGCTTACCACACACCACATCTTAATGTTTTCACTTCAAAAAAAATTCTAAGGGCTAAATGAAGTAATGGTGGTAAGACACTCAAAATCTGGCAAATACACTGATGTTAAATAGTAATTTGACACTTATCTTCTAACCTTTCAGGATCAAACTCTCCAATGTCGATAGACTTGCAGTTCTGCAGCTGTAAATTACGGTGCTCTTCTCTAGCGGTTAAGTAGCTTCTTTCCAAGGCATCAAGGTATCTTTTCAATTGATTTAATGCCTTCACCAATAAGAAATAATTCAATAGCAAATGTCATTACGATTTAGCAAGCCATAGCGATAGCTACTTATGCTGCGTAAATCAGATGCTATCTGAAAGTGATGTTGGTAAGAATTTTGCTACCGCTGTGAATTGGAATAGACTGCATCCTGTACATCGTCCTAGTACGATGCGCTCCCTATCACGTACAAGTAAAACATTAAACTGTGATGTCTGAACTGATACCCTCCTCCATGTCAAAATTCATAATTGTTACGGCAACTTAAGGCCTTTCGGTAATAGCTTTGAGCTGTGATACTTAAACTGGATTTAAGAATCCAGCCACCTACTGAACACCTTCATTTTTGCCTCTTAAACTTGTAATTTCACACTATTTGAGGAAAAGAGGGGTTTTAAACATTTGTTGGAGGAAAACATGGAGTATCTTGCCAGAAAATTGAGTCTACAGCCATTTAAAGTGCACTCCAGAAAACTGAAAATACATAAATTAATTTACCAGATAGTTATCCTGTAAAAGGAATGTCTCCTGGGTCATATGCTTAGAGAAGTCTTCCACCTTCAAGACAATATAGTAGACTTTTATTTGGGATTTTAAAAACCACTATGCAATATGAATATAGAATTTGAGCATCAGTGCAAAGTATATATTGAAACAGAACTCTTTACTTTCTTTGTCAGTTGATCCGTCTGATCCTTTAGTACTTGAGACATATTTTCTCCTAGTGTTAGTTGTGGCAGTAAATTAGGATTTAGACAGTGTGCTTCCACTGTACCAGCTGCTGGTAACGCTGGTACTGTTGCTCCACACCGTAATCCTACATAATACAAGATAAGATCAGTCAATTGGAATTTCTGCCCAACAGTGCTATCAAATTACAGAAGAAACTTGCATAGTTACTGTAATTCTATTTACTTGCTGTAGACAAACCAAGTGTAGATTGTATAGGGGTAGTAGCACGTAACGTAAAGACTTCAGAGGATGTCCCAATGCCTCCTGAGCAAATGGCAATGCTGGTGTTTGGGAAGTCTGACTGAGGAAGTGTCTGTTAAAATGAGAACTTTGGTTATAGAAATGGTGTGTAGAGCACTTGTGGATATAAACAATGTAGAAATAACTCAAGATAACTAATACTAATGAATTTTCATTATAACAATACCATATAATTTTCTGTGTTTCTAGTCTGATATGTATAGTGTCTCATTATATAAATACTTTCACAACTCTATGTTGTGAAAATCTAAAGAGGACTTGCATAAATGGAAAGTACAGTATGAAGGGCACAAAACAGTTTTGAGGAATACTCTTAGTCCTAGAGATAAAGGAGAATGAATTAGAAGAAAAAAAAATCTATTTTGAGAGATTTACCTTAGGATTCAGTCTCAGATGGTCAGTATGATTGTGGGTGTCAGCATTCTGTGTCAGCATCTTGTTTGCAGCCAGGAAATAATAGGGTAAACTATTAAACCTTGCCCCATCTCAAGGGATTTACGAAGATACAAATCTAGGAATGGACCTGCACATCTGTGTAGCTCTGCGAGTGAACTCCATGGCAGGGCATGAAATTGAAAATTGGCTATCTAATTGCTAACAAACTTTAAAAGAGATGTACTAGTCTAAGAGATATTCTGGTCACAAGATCCTTTAAAAATAACTGTGTTTGTAGATACAAGTGTAAACAGTTGAAGAGTGTTAAGATGAGGAAAAAAAGGCAAGGATGTCTTTAACACAGGCACAGGATAAAAATACGTTTTGAAGAAAAACTTTAAAGTACTTCTGGTGAATTTGAACACTTACATATAATACTAGAAACAACAACTTACAGTGAATTTCCTAGTGATTTGATGATATGGTTTATAACTTCAAATAATACTCTAGAGAATCATTAAATCTTTGATAGTGGAAGTTTCATAGAAATTCAGTCCCACAAAATCTGTGGAAAGCAGCTGTTGACTAAAGTGATGCACTGGCTGATACATACAGACTGCCTGCATGAACTAGTCATGTTAGACTGTGCTGGACACAGAATATCTTCTTATGGTAAACATCACTCTACTCTATCAAGTATTAAGAATTCCTTAAAGCGTCTTAATTACCTCTAGCTCTTGCAGCAGTTCTGGAACACTTATTTCTTCTTGATTCTCTACTTCTGTGGAACTGAAACAGGTCTTATTTTCTAGAACATTGTTCCCAATTACTGATTTCCCTAGCAAAAGGGGGAAGGACTTTGTTCTTTCAGCTGTAGGAACTGAGTTAATACTGTCACTTTTTGGTACTCCAACTTTTGAAAGAATTTTTGAGAAGTCGGGAAGGCGATAGTGAGCTTGACCTTGGCCATGTTTGAGCTCGTGAGGTGAAACTGTTTTCCCAAACAGGGGTCTCTGTTCTTTCACGTTCTCAAAGATGTGTTTCGATTGTGAATTCTCTTGCCTGCACCCACACTTTTCAGTAGAAGAAACAGGTTTCTTTGAAACACATCTGTCTTCATGTAGTGAATTTTGATTTTTATCACCAGTGTTTACTTCCTTGTGCTTTTCTGCGTGGTGTTCTTCAGAGTTAGCTGCCTGTTGCTGAGGTGCTGAAGGGCCGTGCCCATGTTCTGAAGGCTCAGGTGCGTTCGTGGTGTCATCCACACTTTCTGTAAAGGATGTCTCTGGTATGGTCTCACATTCAATTAACTGGCATGTCCTCAGAAACTCTCCCTTAGAAAAAGGATGCAGAAGGACATCGGACATGTTATAGTTAGTTTGTTCTTTGGTATCTGACTTACTAAAACCACCAACAGGTAATTCCTTGTTAAAGGAAGCTTCATTTTCAGGCTTTTCAACTGAAATTCCTGTTGCTCCTATGGCACCTCTATGGTGACTGGGTAACTCCTCAGGCTGTGGATGAGTTTCATAATTTGCTGTTGCTTTTATGTTTTTATTATCTTCAGAACGGGATTTTAAAATACCAGAAACCATTTCTGTACAAGTACAGCCATTCAAATTACCTGAGTCGTTACTGTATGTACAGGTTATTCTTACATCTCCGTCATAAGGTAAGTCATCTTGTTCCTCATCTGTTGCATCTGTGCTACAGCGTAGTTCAGCTGAAAGTGCGTTATTCCTTTGGGTTTTCATCCCGCCTGGCTTGCACTCTCTTGTAGCCTCCTTGCCCAGTTTGTGTAGAATACGCATGCCATTGCTTCTCTGATTTTTGGGTAGAGCTTTTGTTATTGCATGGAGCTAAATCTGTAATGAATGAGTAATAATTAAATACATCTGAGAATAAGGTCTACTTACATCTTTTACGTACTATCTAGGTTTTTTTTGAACCATCCCTGTGACATGTTTTCATATTTATACTAGCGTAAGCCTAGGTGACCTGCTGGAGGAAACACACACAGATGACGAGCATCGGGCGAAGGACAACCGGAGCTAGTGCCAGGCACCTGTCCTTGCTCGCTGATGCCTCCAGTATGACAGACAAGAAGATAGAGCCAACAGCGGTGCTGGAAGTCGAGCTCGGTTAAGAACAAGCAGTAATAAAATACGCTTCCCCGCAGCACTACAGAGCGTTTGTTTACCCTCTGCACCGGCGCAATCGCTGAACCTCTCACCGTTCTCTCCTCGCCCCATGCCATAGGGCAGAACGCCGGGAATCGGCACGATCCGGCGGTAGCAGCGCCTTGTGAACCTCCTGACCTCCCCGAGCTGCGGCCCGCACCAGCCCGCGGAAGCGAGCTCCCGGCCCCCGCGCAG